CCGTCACCTATGACCTGGTTCCAGATGCACCACGTTACGCACACCACGTGAGGCCCTCTTGTTCCTTGGGACTCCACCTCCATCTTTTAGACACTGTCTCCAGAGAGGAGGCACAATATTGTGTCCTGTGGCTGAATCCCCCTTAGGGCTGGGGTCATGGAGGGGGTGCAAAGGAATTCTGCCCCATATAATCATCATTCTGTGGCACCTGCCAAGGCTGTTATAGTCACCCTCTCATTTCTTCCTCAAAAGACCCAGCTAGGGAGGGATTTCTCCTGTTTCATGGGTGAGAAAATGAACTTGGAGAGATCATGGTCATGTACCAGTTTGGGCTGAGATAAAGTTGAGCAGAGAGTAGTGCCCCAAGCGAGCTGGTTCACTTGGCCCCTCCTTCCCTGCAGGCCTCAGCCCCACTGGGACTGTGGACAGGAGCTCTGGCTGTCCTGCGGAGCCTGCGAGGCTGGGGCTGTAGCCGCCGGGTCTGTGTCCGTGTGCAGCTGGCCCAGCCCTTCTCCCTGCAGGTACGAAGCCTGTTGGGTAAAGCTGGGAGTACCTGGGTCTGTCTTGGGACTTTTGGCAGCCTGGTCCTCAAAGTCACTGCAGGGATAGCCTTGCCTACCTCAGGTGGGCTGTGTGCAGGTTTCCTGGTGGGCCAGGGCAGGCCACCTAAGACCCTTGTCCTGGGCAGGAATACACCATCAACGCCAGAAGCTGTTGGGGTAGCAGGCAGACCCTGGAGCAGCTGCTGCAGCCCATCGTGCTGGGCCAATGGTAGGGGCAGGGGAGTGTGTAGGTCTCGGGGGCAAGGCAGGCAGTCCTTTGGCCCCAGCTTGTGAGCTGGCACCCTTTCCCCCATACCCACAGACTCATTACCAGCTCTAGCCTTGCCTCAGCAAATATCCTTGGGTCATCTGAAACAGTGCCAGGCACCCCTCCTTGCTTATAATCTGAGTGTGGGAAATGGCAACCGTGGAAGGGGCTGGGCTTACATGAGCCATCCCCTGCCCTGGGGCTGGGATAGGGAAACACCCTCACTTTTGAGAAAGCTCTGGGTTTCCCCATGACTGTTTTTAGATTTGGTTCCTTCATCCTGTGATCTGTCTCTCTATCCCAGTACTGCTGTCCCAGACACTGAGAAGGAACAGGAGTGGGCTCCAGTAACTGGGCCCCTTCTGGCCCTCAAGGAGGAGGACCAGCTCCTGGTCAGGAGGCTGAGCTGTCACGTCCTGAATGGTGAGGGGTACTAGGTCTGGGCCTATTGGGGGAGGGTCCTGAGCAGTCCTTTCTCTCTGGGTTGGCCAGTTGTCAGGGCCCTCCATTCCAAGTGGGTTTCTGCACCTGACTCTCCCTCCTGTGTGGCCACTGGGATACGTGAAGAGGAGTGGAACCCTCTTCTGCCCCTGAGGAGCGGGGCAGTCAGGCAACACGTGAGGGAGCCAGTGAGTGAGTGTACTGACGGCCTCCTGAACCACGGAGGGTGAGCTGTGCAGAGGGCAGATGCCTGGTTCCAAGCCACCTACCCTAGGTCACACCGGCCCTGCTTCGGGCTCATCATGTCACCTCTCTGAGCCTGGTCTCCTTAGCTGTAAATAGGGGTGATGTTAACAGAATAATGCATGCAAGGGACTTAAGACAGTGTCTGGCACAGAGCGGGCTCTAACAAAATTATCATTACTATCTTCTCAAGTGCCCCTCTGTGGCAGAGACTGTGTTGGCGGGTGGGACTCTGACTGAAAGCCTGGCTCTCAGTACGTATTTGATAAATGCCAGTTCTCCACTGGGAAGGGTGGCACCCAAGGACCAGGCCTGCTCTCCCCTTCGCTGGGGTGGAGTGTGTGTGTGGTGTGCGAGGCTGCTGCCAGGGAGGCAGGGGAGGAGTGTTCTTGGCCCATAATACTTGCCGAGTGATGGAGGGGCCAGGCTTCTGGGCCTGGCCCCTGACCAGCATCCCCTGACCTCTGGCCCCAGCCAGCGTGGCGAGCTCGGCGGTGATGAGCACGGCCATCATGGCGACACTGCTGCTGTTTAAGCATCCAAAGGTAGGGCACAGTGTGGTAGGGGGCTGGGGGGACAGGGTGTGGCCCTTTTGCTCAGCCCCTGCACTGCCCACCAGGGGGTGTTCCTGTCACAGCTCCTGGGGGAGTTCTCCTGGCTGACCGAAGAGACATTGCTGCGCGGCTTTGACGTGGGCTTCTCAGGGCAGCTGCGGTGCCTGTTGCAGCACACACTGAGCCTGCTGCGGGCACACGTGGCTCTGCTGTGCGTCCGCCAAGGGGATTTGCTGGTGGTTCCACGGCCTGGGCCAGGCCTCATGCACCTCGCACGCCTGAGCGCTGAGCTGCTGCCCGCCTTCCTGAGTGAGGCCGTGGGCGGTGAGTTCCGAGGGCTCAGGGTGGGTGGGATGTGTCTAGAGGTAAGGGGAATAGCTTCCTTTCTCACGTCTGGCTGCCTCCTCCCCCAGCCTGTGCTGTGCGAGGGCTGCTGGCAGGCAGAGTGCCACCTGAGGGGCCCTGGGAGCTGCAGGGCATTGAGCTGCTGAGCCAGAACGAGCTGTACCGCCAGATCCTGCTGCTGCTGCACTTGCTGCCACAAGACCTGCTGCTGCTGCCGGTCAGGCCTCTCCCACCAGCTGAGCTTGGTCCTGGGCATCCCCCTCTCGGTTGTAGGAGGGGGCCTATGCTTGCCCAAGCCTCCTAAGACCTCCTGAGGAAGTAGGTCTGCCTTGCCCTGTCATTGCCTGGCTTTCCTGAGGCCACATGAATGCTTCTTTCTCCCCAGCCTTGCCAGTCTTCCTACTGCTACTGTCAGGAGGTGCTGGACCGTCTCATCCAGTGTGGGCTCCTGGTTGCTGAGGAGGTAGGCAGGGCAGCTGGAGACAAAGCCCCTGCCTGGGGCCTGGCCTCCTTTAGCCTCCCACCCTGAGTGACAGCTGCCCTGGGCTCCTCCTCTGCCCCACGTGTGCTGTGGGGGTGGGCAGCCCCCTTACCCAGCAGACAGGGAAGCCTGGGTCCTGCCTCTGCCAATGTCCACCCTCAGATCTGGCAGACCACATGTGCCCTGACCCATGTGTATCTATCATGACAGGACTGGACAAATGTACCTCTGAGGTTCTTTGCACACCTCTCGTCCCCCACATTTCTTGTCCACATGGCTGTGGTCCTTGAGGGTGGGTGCCCACTTCCCTTCACCATGCAAGTTGGCTCAGCAGGTGCCACGGTCTGGCATGGCCCCGGGTGTCCTCTTAGGCTCCTGAGGCCTGCTTTTACTGGTTTCACCTCCATGTGCCTGGTCAGCCATGTACCTGGCTGGGGGGCTCAGAGCTGAACCTTGGCCAGCCTGACAGGGACCAATGGCTCCCATGGTCCCTAGACCCCAGGCTCCTGGCCAGCCTGCGACACAGGACGACAGCGTTTGAGCGCAAGGCTGCTGTGGAAACCGAGTGGGGACTTCACTGATAGTGACAGTGATGACTTCGAGGAGGCTGAGGGCCGGTACTTTAGGGTGCGTTGGGAAAAGCCACCAGGGGAGGGAGGCAGTAGGGAGGCAGTGGGAGCTGCCCTCACCCTGATCTGTTCTCCTCCAGCTCAGTCAACAGTCGCGCTGCCCCGACTTCTTCCTCTTTCTCTGCCGCCTGCTCAGCCCACTGCTCAAGGCCTTCGCACAGGCTGCCGCCTTCCTCCACCAGGGACAGCTGCCTGATACTGGTGAGACCTGCACTTCTCTGGTGTCCTCAGGGAGAGGCTGAGAGCTCAGGGCAGGGGCTTTGCCTGTGCGGGGCTCCAGGCCTAGGTCTTCTCTTTCCCACAGAGTCAGGCTACACGGAGCAGCTGTTCCAGTTCTTGCAGGCCACTGCCCAGGAGGAAGGGTTCTTCGGTGAGTCCCAAGTAGCCAGCCCAGGCTCTCAGGAGGCAGGGGAGGGTTTGCTGGTTGCTGCTGCCCCCTGCTGGGCAGTGGCAGCCCAACTCCAGGAAGGACGGCTGCAGAGTACAGGAGGGCCTTCAGGTCCAGTCTTGAGCCCTATCCTTGGGTGGTTACTTCTTTCAATAAGAGAGAGAGAGAAGCCTGTGCCCAATGGCTCTCTGCCCTCCCTATAGCCCTCACTTCTTTCTTCCCTCCAGAGTGTGTGGACCCAAATCTAGCCATCAGTGCTATCTGGACCTTCAGAGACCTGGGGGTGAGAGGGGCCAGTCTCGCCATTCTCCTGTCTCCCATCCCCAGTCCCACCCCCTGATAAAGCTGCTCAGGGAAGCCCAGCTGTGCCACTCTGGGATTTACCCAGTGTCTCCCAAGAATAGGTGTGATGGTAGTTGGAGAAGGTAGGATGGCTTTCCTGCCCCTCTTGGTCTCCCAAACCACTGCCTCATCCTTCGTCCAGGTGGGTTACTGGGAGGAGTTTGAGAGGCAGCATTTGCGCTCAAACACTGAAGCCTAAGGGGCCAGAGGTCTCACTGCAGTTTTCCGGGGGATGGCACAGCCCCCATGCAGTGCTCACAGCCTTTCTCCACGGCCCAGGTACTACAGCAGACAGCTAGCCCTGCAGGCCCCGTGCTCCACCTGTCTCCTACGTTTGCCAGCTGGGACAATCAGGAAAAGCTGGAACAGTTCATTCGGCAGTTCATTTGTGGCTAGAACTGTGAGGTGGAGCCTGCGCTGAGACATCTCAGCCCTAGAACGCAGCCGTGCCCCGGGGCCAGAAGACAGAGGAGGCTGCAGACCCTTAGCTGGACTATAAAATCTTTGAGGTCTGATTGTCCCTTGTTGTCTCTTGCTTTCTCCATCCTTTGGTGTGATAAATGAAGGGACTGGATGAGTCCTCTTTTTCCAAGCCCAGCAGCGTGTGTGCGTGTGCGTGTGCGTGTGCGCTCTCCCTACCCACCCCATGAGAATGCCCTATCTTGCTCTTTGAAACATACCCTAAAAGACGACAAACAGGAGCAGAAGCCAAGTTGCTTTGGCCTGAGAAGTTTATTGAGGAGAGCTCCATCTCCTCTCCCTGGAAGAGGGAGACTCACGGGGGCATGGCCTCTCCCTGTGCTGGGCTGAGTGGGAATGGATGCACCCACCTCCTAAGTCCAGGGCCTGTGGCAGGAGCCATCACACCACCTTGTTGATGATGATGCCTAGTTCTTCAATCTCACACTGGACTTCATCACCTTTCTGCAACAGAGCAGGCCGCGAGGGTGTCAGTCCTTTAGTCTGACACACTTCTGCACATACACAGGCCGGGATTTCTCAAATCTGAGCCAAGCCTGCCAGGCCTTCTGGGTCCTTCTCCCTTTCCTCCTTTTAGTCAACCTACCTTGAGAAAGACAGGAGGTTTCCTAAATACACCAACACCTGGGGGAGTCCCCGTCAGGATGACGTCCCCTGGGTAGAGAGTGACGAACCTAGGGCAAAAAGGGCCAGGTGAGACCAGGGGCTGAGGTGGCCACAGCCAGGGATGGAGGGCTCAGCTCAGCCTCAGGTGGGTGTGTGGGGCAGGGCTCCATTCCACTTACTGGGACACCCAGGCTATCAGCTCTTCCGTCTTAAACACCATCTGGTTGGTGTTGCTGCTCTGGACCACCTCCCCGTTCACTCGGCAGCAGATCTTTAAGTTGTGTGGATCTGAAATGCAAAAATAACACCTTGGGGTTCTCCCTGTTTTCCCTCAAACCTCCCCCTACACTCAGCTAGAAAATGAAAGCACAGGGAGGCCTTGTGACTTGCCGGGTGAAAGGGCTGTCTGCTGGTCTCCCTGCACATGCTCCTGGCACTCTGCTTGTTCAGACTCAGCACTCCCTACTCTGGTACTTTCTATGTGGACATTGGCCTCCTCAAGTCTGTATCTACCACCTATCAGAGCACCTGCCAGTGGTCAGCTGGGTGAGTTAAGGAGAGACTGTGTCCCAGATCCTCCAGAAGAAGAGAAAAATGGCAGTTTTTTGCCATAAAAAATGGACTTCTGTCCACAGCAGAGGCTGAGAATTGCAGATCTAAAAATGACTTCACATCTGTAAAGCAACAGGGTAACAGCATGAGCAGGGGCAATGAAGCCTCCTGCACCTGATGCTGGCAGGGAATGGCTTACCCATAATAGTGTCCTGGCTAACCAGCTCTTTTATCTTAACTTTTGTTTTACATAGTCACAAGTACACCCCTTAGAGCATCTGGAACACAATTTAACTTCAGTGACTACTGCATAGGGTGGTGTCAGGCTGAACTGCCTGGACACGCCCCCAACTGAATGGCAGCACCCTGCCCTCTGACCTGCCGTCTTTCCTCCTGGTTCACTGTGCTCTTGCTGCCTGTAGCTGGTGCTGCCCTGGTAACACTGGCTGGGCAAGGTCCTGTTGGTGCTCTCCAGCTCCCTTAGTGTGGAAAATGAAGGGGCTTTGTGATAGCCATTCTCTGGTGCTCAAGGGCCAGCTTTGCTTCCTTCCAACTTAGACTCTCCCAGATGGTGGTGGCTAGAGGAAGCCAGGCCCACCCATCAGGGAGCACTGTTCCTTGTAATTTACTTCACAATTGCAGATTCACCACCTCTGGGGTTGTGGTCCTCTAGGGGGTGAGGGGAAATGGAGGGAGGCCTGCTGAGAACTTGTGGCCCAGGTTTAGAGACTTGCTGTCTAAGGAATCAGCAAAAGGCAGCCGCGGGTGGGGGTGCTCTGCATTGAGCCCACGCCAAACACCCACTTCCTGAGCACTGCTTTTTCTTTACTCTGATATATCTGTGCAAGGGCAGGAAGAGTCATCACGGGCTGTTAGAGACCTACCTGCTACACTGTCCTTGGTCACCAAGGCTGGGCCCAGGGGACAGAAGGTGTCAAAGGTTTTTCCCAGCAGCCATTGCTTTCCATTGCGTTTCATTTGCCAGTCACGAGCACTCACGTCATGTGCCACAGTGAAGCCGGCCACATGAGCCATGGCATCTGTGGCCTACAGGGGGCAGGGGATTTGGCCAGACTGGAGGTTAGATCACGGTGACTCCAAGCCCTGTAACAAAGCCTTTATCCCATGTTAGTAGGCAGAGCTAGCCTAACTTGGTGGGCGAGGGGCAAGGCAGGTGCCAAAGCAGGTAGTGCGAACTACTTCCCAATGCCAGGGAGTGTGCCAATGCTGGCACCACCCCTTCCACCTCACCTTGATGTGCTTGCCTTTCTTTCCAATGACCACGGCCAGCTCCACTTCCCAGTCCACCTGCTGTAGAGTGGGAGAGGAGCAGTGAACTGCCTGGCTCTGGGGCCCTTTCCTGTGCTGAGGCACTGCACACTGTGCGTCAGGGCCTGGGCCTCTAATGCGGGGGTCACTGCTGGCCCACATTTGTAATCACCAAGAACCAGAGTGGAGTGAACGAGGGGAGAGGTGTGACTTGTAGACCCATAGGCTTTGGGCAGTGGCAAGCAGCACCACTGGAGACAGGCACAGCTCCCCACTGTGACGTAGGGGAGCAACGCTAGTCTGGGGGACTGAGTTTAGAAGTCACTCTTGATACTTCCAAAAAAGGATGAATACCAAGTAATAATAGCTAACCCTACCGTGTGCCAGGGACCATGCTAAGTGCTTAATTCATTAACTCACTTAAATGATAAGAAAAAGATCAACATGCCAAAATAAATGTGGGCGAAAGGCTTGAATAAACAATTCACAAAAAGAAAACATAGGGCCACAAAAAATGAAAACATGCTCAGCCTTTCCCATAATCAGCAAAGTGCAACTACAAAATAGATACAATTTAGCCTTTCAAATTGGCTGCTCTTTCTAACAGTAACAACCAGAGTTGCTATGAACACACCTGACACCCCTTGGTCTCTTGCACAGCTCCCCACTAGAAAGAACCGGGTTCCTTGGGAGAAATGGCTAATTCCAGATCCAAAACACAGTACAAGATGAGCCTGAAATGTCTTGGCCAGAAAGCAAAGAAGTGCTCAAAAAATGACGGGGATGGGGGCCAACTTGAAGCCCCTCACTGGCCAAATTGAGACCATTTGAATATCAAAAAGAATGTAAATGACAGATTACAACATATTGGATAAAAATAAAAATCAGGAATTCCCAGTGATACTAAGGGGACAGGGGTAAAAAAAAAAAAGGAGGGAGGCAGCTTTTCTTCACAGAATGCTAGCTAGTAAGAGAAGGCATGATAGACAAATCACCTTTTCTAACCCCCAATGTAATAATGGATTCAAGTAAGGATGACCAGAGGATCCCTGGATGAAAAGCTGTGGTAATAAGATAGTCACATGGTCTCAAACTGTTACCTTATAGATTGATTATTAATTACCACAGTGAAATGCACCTTTACAATAGAGAGATCTAGTGAACATCAAGTAAACTAAGTGATCACGGACCACCTGACATGAGCCTCCCAATGGGATGCAACGTGAGTATACAACATCTGTTGCTATAAGACTGACTGCTTGTGTCCCCCTAAAACTCCTATGTTGAAATCTAACCCCCAATGTTACGCCATTAGGAGGTGGGGCCTTTGGGAGGTGAGTAGGTCATGAGGGCAGAGCCCCCATGAATAGGATTAGTGCCATATAAGAGACCCCAGAGAGCTCCTTTGCCCCTTCTGCTTGCCATGTGAGGAAACAGTGAAAAGACAGCGGTCTATGAACCAGGAAGTGCGCCCTCCCTAGGCACCAAATCTGTTGGTGCCTTGATCTTGGCCTTCCCAGCCTCCAGAACTGTGAGAAATAAATTTCTGTTGTGTATAAGCCACTCAGTCTGTAGCATTTTGTTGTAACAGCCTACATGAACTAAGACACCCATGTAGACAAAAATGTTTAACCTGAATCTAATCATGAGGAAACAACCAGGCAAATCCAGGGTGTGGGATATACTACTACGAGACAACTTGCCTGGATTCTTCAATAAGTCAGTGTCATGAAAGATAGAAAAGGGCAGGGGGACTGAGATCAGAGATCAGCAAACTATGGGCTGCCTGTGAGCTGAATCCAGCTCACTGCCTGTTTCTGAAAATCAAGTTTTCCTGGAACACAGCCACGTTCATTCAATTTTGTATCAGCCATGACTGCTTTCAGACTACAGTGGCAAAGCTGAGTTGTTGCAACAGACACTATATGGCATTCAAAGCCTAATATTTACTAACTGGCCCTTTGAGAAAAAGTCTGTGGATCCCTGTTCTAGATTAAAGGCACTAAAGAGACATAACCAAATACGATGTGTGGCCTTGATTGATCCCGGGCAACAAACAAAAACCAAACAAAACAGTATCCAAAATAAAGTCATCTTTGGGGACAACTGGGAATATACCCAATTGGACTATATATTAGATATTATTCATGTTAATTTTCTCAGTTGTGATGATGATATTATGGTCATGTAAGACATTGTCCTTATTCTTAGAAGATGCATGCTGAATTTTATTAATTTTCTACAATGAAGGTATAGTACTTTTGTAATCCAAATGGGAATAATGGAAAGGTCTCTCTCCTAATTAATTTCTTTTTTCCTGAGGCCAGTCTTATTACTGTATAATCCCCTGAAGTTTCTATTTAATGCACTACTGAGCAACAGGTGGCTCCTTTAGGCTGGACGCTGAGCACTGAGTGCCCTGTGATGGGCCCCTGTGACTGGGGAGGGCAGTGGGGAGGCACCGACCTGGCTCTCTGGCGGGAGGACGACCTCATCGTACGGCCCCACGATTGAGCTGCCAAACTTGCTGAAGATGATGGGCTCCTTGGGCACGGGCACGTTCTGTTCTTTGCAGTGGTCCACGTAATTCATGCCTACGCACACCACCTTGTCTGGCCGCGTGACTGGGGCCAGGAAGGTCACCTCTGACCGTGGTAGGACTGGTAATTGGGCAGCCAGGGCTCTGCAGAGACGAGAGCAGGAGAGAGGGGCTGGCTGGGAGGAGTCCAGCAATCCTGGGGCATGCTGGGGAGACCCTACAGCAGCTACAAGTTTTGCTGTTTAAAATATATTTTCTAGATCTATCGACCATCAGAGTCAGTGTGAAAATCAAGCCCAGCTATTGCCCTCTGATATCAGAGCACTATTTATTATTTATCCAGTGCTGATTTCCTTTCCCCCCTTAGGTAATACATGTCCATGTAAGGGAATTCACAAGGTGCAAATGAGAATAACAGAGGTCCTTCCTCTTACCCCCTCTCCTAGTCACCCCACTCCATCCTTGGAGACAACCACTGTGGTCCTGTGTAGCTCTTCACAATGACCCCATGTATGCTCTTCTCCTCCCATTCTTTTTACGCAAATGAGAGCACACCATATATAGCTTTTAAATATATATATACATATATTTTGAAGACCTCTCCATAACAGTACATAGCTCTGTCTTTTTTTCGTATGGCTGCATATCACTGCACTGTAGAGATACACCCAATTCCCTAATGAGGGACGTGGAAGTAGTTTCCAATCTTGGGAGAATGTGACAGTATGGGAAACGTGCTCTTACCAACAGTGTGTGCTGTCAAACAGTTGTATTTTTGCCAGTTTAACAGGTGAAAATGATATCTCAAAGTGGTTTTTAATTTACTGTTCATCAACGTCTTTAGACCAGATTCCATAGGGCTCCTGGCTTCAGGGAAGTCCCTATCTAATCTAGCCCAAACCCAAGAACCATCTTTAATAAAATCTCTTGGCAGTCCTCTCTCCTCTAAGGAGCCAAGAGTCCAATCACTCCCCCAGCTTCCCAAGATGTCTCTTAGGACCCCAGGTCCCAGCCTCCTCAGGCAGGCAGCAACTTAATCCTCTGGGGAAGGCAGTGTGATGAAGCAGCGTTCTGGGTCCACCACCAAGTGTATGGCCTCAGGATAGTTAATCACCCTCCCTGGACCTCAGTTTCCCCCTCTGTAAACTGAGGATGTTGTCATTTAAGACTTCTAAGGCTCTTCACTAAGAGAACAGCTGAGAAAGAAGAGGTGGGGTTACCCTGCTCCCTTGCAAAAGAGCTCCATGCTGGTTGTTTCCCAGGACAGGGATGGGGATGGGAGGTAGGAGAGGGGGAACAGGGTAGTTGCTGCAGGACAATGCTGCCTGCTGATTTACCTTCTCGCCACTGAGAGCGTGGTCTCTCCCTGCTCCAGGAACTCCATCATCGTCTTGGGCAGTGTGGGGTCAAAGGCATTGAGGTTGATGACCCCTCCACCATTCCCTGACTCCAGTCCCAGGTGAGGTCCCATCAGGTGGGGTGCCTGGAACTGCACCAGTCTCATGTCTCTGGACTGTTGAAAGGGCCACCGCTGAGCCTGCAGAACGGTGAGCAACCTCCTTCCACCAGAGACCAGCATCAGAGTCTATGGAGAAAAAAGCAGGTTCTAGGGTACAGAGAGCTGGGAACCATCATCAGGATCCCCACAGTTCCGCCAGCTGCAGCCCAAGCCCCTTCGCCCATCAGGCGTTCCTGGCACACCACATAGGAAGTGCTTCAGATTTATGTTTACACTTTACAAGGTGATTTTTTGCTCAATTCAATGTATGTAATGAAACCTTTCTAGAGGAGCGACTACCTCACGCCAGGCACTAAGCTGGTGCCAGGATTCCAGCGTTCCTCCAACCAGCGCTTTCTGAAAGCTTACACTGTACCTGGGCAAACAGTGTCGATCAGGCGTGCTCCGCCCTGCCATCCTGCTCGCAGGGGAGACTGATGTGAACAACTGATGCTGCGAGTAAGATTCAGCAATTGGGACGACTGCTGTGACGATCAAGGGTCCTGCCTTTGTCTAGTTTCTAGAGGAAGTAATACTGAGCTAAGCTGGCCTGGGCTAAAATGAGCAGGACTAGGAATTCGATAAGAGTAGGGCCCAGCATGGGCAAGTGACCACTGGTGAAACTGGCTTCACAGCTGTCACAAGCAATTTTTTAAATGCCAATTTGATCCTGTTACCCTCCTACTTAAAATGCTTTTCACTACTCACATTGCCAAGCCAGAACCCCTATCAGGCTGTCCCAGCCTTCTAAGAGCAGCCCCCACCTGCCTCTCCAGTCACTAATTATCTAGTTTCTCCTGCTGGAGCACAGGCTGCCTGAGGGAAGAGGCTGCAAAGGGCAGGGCCTAGGCCTGAAAGGCATCACTGGGGTGTCACCCCTCCAGGTTCCGGGGCCACATCTGTCTTTTTCGCTGCTGAGTCCACAGTGCCCAGCACTGCGCCTGGCACACAGAAGGCTCTCAGCTACTCTCTACTGAATGAACAAATGCCAGAAGCAGAGGCTTGACTTTTCACTACTTGGGAAAGCTTGGTGATTGTCAGCCTCAGGAGGTGTGGCTGTGCCTTCCTTCCTCAAATCACAGAGCTCAAGTCCTGTTTTGAGTTCCAGGCTCCACTCAAAGACAAACCCCATTCTCTTGTCTTGTTTTGTTTCTAATCTAAGTCCAGCCTCCATTCCAAACAGTCCCTCCCCTGCATGGTTCCTTGCTTTGAAAAACAGCCCTTGAGGCTCAGGCATGTGGAGGTAGTCCCAGACTCCTGATCCTCACCCCCACCATGCAATCTGCCTTGTTCAGTTCAAGACTCAATAGACCAGGTAACTGATCTGACCACTGTGCTGACAGATGAGTTGGACCAGAAAAACAGGGGCTTCAAGCCTCCTGCCCTCCTGTCTTACACAAGCTCAACCATGCCACTGTCAAAAGGCCATTCAAGCCCAAGTGCATGCGCTCAGACGCTCCACATGCTAAAATAACAGTAGCTGCTTCCACTGAATGCCAGGTCTCCTTTTTAATTGCTTTATCTACAATGTCTGATTTAATTCTTTTGACAATTGTGGAAGGAATCATCTGTCTTATTTTACAGATGAAAAAGCTAAGGCTTAAGAGAGGTTAAGGGATTTGCCCATAGTCCCCAGGAGGGGAAAGAGCTGGGACTTGAATCCAAGTCCAGTGACATCGACGTTCCTGGTTCAGAAACCAGGTGTTGTGCAAACAAGATAATCCAGCTTCAGCTCACTCCCACCCCCACCTCCCCTAGGATACTTGAGCCCAGAAGGTTGTGGTGAGAAGGAGGGACCTCCAACAGGAGATCCTCTAGAGGCCCCAGACCCCCTGCCTGCCCTCAGCCATGCTCAGGGAAACTTGGTTGCCCGTTGGCTGCTGCCTCAGGGATAAGGCTGGTCACCTGCTGTCCAACATAACCCCGGGCTCCACTAACTGCCCTTCCCACATGACAGGCACAGGCAGGTTCTCATTCCGTCCAACAGCAATCCCCCCCAGGCACTGCACCCCGTTTTACAGAGGGGGACACGGAGGCTTAAAGAAGAGAAGTCACCTGCCAAGGTACCAGTCAGAAAGTGGCCGCGGTGCTTCTGTAACAGAGCCCGAGCTCAATCCAACTCTGAAAAGGGGTCCTTAAGCAAAGAGCAGCGAGGTGAGGCGACAATAGCCTGAGAGCTGAGTTTGTACGTGGGACGGCGTCCCGCCGACTAGTCGCCTGGGACCCTGTGCCAGTCCCTCGGTTTCCCTATGAGCCCAGCTTAGTCCCCTGCACTCCGTGGGCGCTCACGAGCGGCCGCCTCGTCCCGTGGTCGGAGCGGCCGGGGACCTGGTCCAGTCCTGCCCTCAGCGGGAGGCCGGGAGGGAAAGCGAGGCCCGGCGCCCCGTCGCCTCGTGCGGGGACGCCTCCCGGCCTGGCCTGCACCCAACCTACCTGGCGGCAGCCGGCCCGGGGTCTAAGGTCAGCGGGCGCCGACGCACTGCTATCACGTCCCGCCGACCGCGACCCGCCCGCAGAACTACAGCTACAGCGCTCCCGGCGGCTCCTCGAAACAAGACGTCGGCAGAGGCGGGCGCTCTCTGGTGACGTCACAGAACGACGGCCAATGGCAGGGCGCCGCGCTCCGTCCCGGGCGCCGAGTCGCGGAGGGGGCGGGCCCAGCGCTGAAGGGTAGGTTGTCTCCCGGGCGCACCTTCGGGCTGTGGGCGGGGCCCGCGCGGGTGAGGCCGCGGGCGCTCGCTCTCACGGTGCCCCGCGCTTGCGCGAACCGGAGAGAGCGTGCTCCCTGCTTCTAGGCCAGGCGGCGTTCCGATTGCTGGGCAAATGCGGTGGAAGAAACCAAATTATAGCGCGCTGGTTGACATAGCCAAATCTTTTTGTCTTCTGATTCTAACATATCCTTGAGGAGAGGAGGGATGATTGCACCCATTTTATATACGGGGAACCTGCGGCCGGAAGAGTTTTGCTCAAGATGACACAGGCAGGGAGTAGTGGAACCAGCGTTCTTGACCCCGAGTCCAGCTTTTACACCCAGTCTCAGCAGCCCTGCCTTCTTTATGCACCGTATTGGGCGCAGGGCAGGATAGTGGGAGGTGTAACCTCCAGCGTCAGAGAATAGGCGTTCTGGTGGAGAGGTGGTTTAATTATCAGGCAGTTACAATCCAGCTCTCCAGGCCCCGGGCAAATGAAGACACATAGGGGGCTCTGGGCAAGAGGTCCAAGGACCAGATCATGAAGGGCTGTACTTGTCCCAGCAAGGAGTTTGAGCCTTATCTAAGCACACAGGAGGCCACTGGAAGGTCCTCACAGGGGGTACCATGGTTAGACTTGCGTCTGAGTAGTTTTACTCTGGCCACTCCTCCAGAGAAAGGTGTCTGGGTAAGAGTGGTGCAGGGGAGAGCAATAGTGGCGTGGCGTGCGGTGGAGATGGTGAGAGTCCAGAGATATTCAGGAGGTAGAGCTGACAGCCCTCAGTGATGACAGGAGGTGAGAGTGAGGGTGAAGGAGGTGCAAGGCCGAGTCCTAGGTTTCTGGCCTGGTAGATGGCAGTGCCGTTCATGGAGACGGGTTCTGGAGGGGCAGCAGGTCTGGGGAGAGGATGTGAGCTCAGTTGTGGATGGGTTGTATTTAATGTGCCTGTGAGACATTCCAGGGGGTGCTGCCGAGTGGGCAGTTGGAGATAAGAGTCTGGAACTTGGGGCTCTAGTTTGGCTTGAAGATAGAGGTCAGCATAGAGATAGAAATGGAACCTGTGGGAGTGAGTGTGATCCGGGGGAATGTACTACAGAGCTTGGCGTAAACCCCAGTCAGGAAACACATTATGCAAGGGTGGGGAGCGCCAGAGGGGCAGCCAGAGAGACTGAAGGGAAACAGGGAGATAGGGAACACATAACTTAGGCAGAGGTCAGGGGGCACGCTTTCCACATGCCAAGGAGAGGAGGACTTCTGCTACTGGACAAGATGGAGGAACAGGGACAGGATTTACCCTCCTGCATGACCCAACCAAAAAACTCAAAGTGTACGAAATAGTGGTTTTCAAGAAATTGGACCTCAAACAATGAAGAACAGCGATCTCGGATAGACAGGAAACAAATGAGGCAGGCCCTATGGCTGTCCCAGCTTAATGCTTTGAGAGAGTTTGTAGGCTGTGGCACAGGGAGGAGGGGCTGAGGTGGAGCCAGCATACCCCAGGAGTTGGAGCGGTGGAGCTGAGGGCCCAGTGAGAACGAGGAAGCTAGACTTTGCGGGACAGTACTGGAGAGAAGAGACCTGGGCTGAAAGAGAACTTGGAGTTCTGTAGCGGTTCCCTCTCGAGTCTGCAACAGAGTACTGAGCAGTGCATGCCTGTGAGGCAATTACCTGAGACCAGGGAAAGAATCATCATAAAGAATTAGAGGGAACAGTGTCAAGAGATTGCACAAGGCCAGGAACGGTGCCTCTTCCCAAGCAGTGCTCCAGGCCTGCCTGATGAATCAAAAAATCAAGACCAAAAAGGACCAAACTGTCTCCAAGTAACTTAACTACGTCATAGACCAAGCTCAGTAATGTTTATGGAAACAAAAATATCCAGCACTCACAAGGTAAAAGTCACAAGATCTGGTATCTAATCAAAGATTACCCAGGCCTGGAAAGAAGCGGGAAAACATGACCCATAATGAGAATAATCAAGTGATTTAATACGAACTCATAACTGAAAGGTGTTAGAATTAACAGACGAGGACATTATAACAGTTATTAACTATACTCTGTGTTCAAAAATTAAGTAGAGACATGGAAGATACCTAAAAAAGACTCAGATCAAACTTCTTTTGATATAAACTACAATGTCTGAGATAAAAAATATACTAGGTGGATTAATGGCAGATTCAATGTTCCAGAAGAAAAGATTAATGAATTTGAAAACATAGCGCTAGTGTTTTGGCCGGAGCGTCCATCTTCTGGTACTTTGCCAAAATGATCAACATAAAGGGACAAAAGAGGGGTACCCACTGTATGTTCTCTAGGCCTTTTAGAAAACATGGAGTTGTTGCTTTGGCCACAAACAGGCAAATCTACAAGAAAGGTGATATTGTAGATATCAAGGAAATGGGCACTGTTCAAAAAGGAATGCCCTACAACTGTTCTGGCGGCAAAACTGCAACAGTCTACAGTGTCACCCAGCATGCTGCCGGCATTGTTGTAAACAAACAAGTTAAGGGAAAGATTCTTGCCAAAGGAATAAATGTACATATTGAGCATATTCAGCACTCTAAGAGCTGACTTCCTGAAACATGTGAAGGAAATGATCAGGAAGAGAAAGAAGCCAAAGAGAAAGGTACTTGGTTTCAGCTGAAGCACCAGCCTGCTCCACCCAGAGAAATTAGTTCTTCATTTGTGAGAACCGGTGGAAAGGAGCCTGAGCTGCTGGAACCCATTCCCTGTGAATTATAGGGGTAAAAAACATGAAAAACCTTTGGATTGTAAAAATCTCTCTCTTAATTGAGTAGAAGTGTAAGGTCCCCTCCCCAAAGAAGTATTTAAAACAAACTTGAAAAAGAAAACATAGCACTAAGAGCTATCCAAAATGAAACACAGAGTAAAAAAGAATTTAAACATGATGAAAAGATCATCAGTGAGCTCTGGGGAAAATTCAAACACCTTAATATATAGGTAATTGGAGTCCCTGAAGTAAAGGAGATGGAGGGGGAACAGAAAAAAAATATTTGAAGAAATAAAGGCCAAGAATTTTCTAAGCTTGATGAAAACTATAAACCTGCTATCCAAGAATCTCAATAAAAACCCCAAGCGCAAGAAAACTACATCATGGCATATCATAATCAAGTTGTTCAAAACTAGTGATAAAGAGAGACAATATTAAAATTAGCCAGAGGATTCTGTGTCCAGAAAAATGGAGAAGTACTTGTCCCTATTCCTCCTGCTAAGTACAGCTAAAAACCTGTGCAAAACAAACATAAGAAGACTCTGAAAGGTGGTGAGAAGAAGGCAGAATGGCCTGGGGTCTGCCTAGCAGTGAGATGACACAGCGTGTGAGTTTTCTGGGTTTTCTTTTCTCCTCATATATCCCAGACTTGGAAGAGATATGAAGAAGCTTCACCTATTGGAAATTCCAATGGATGTAGACAAAAAAAAAAAAAAAAAAAAGCCCCAAGAAAATCCTGCTCGCTTTAGTCAAAGGACTGGGAAAGGGGCAGCCTAGCAAAACAGAAAATTTAGACAATAACTGCCGTACTCCAGCCAAACAACATAGAAAAAACTGTGGCCCTATGCCCATTAGCAAAGGCCGAGTGGGGAGCCGAGGTTTTCATCCTTGCCAGGCTGTAATGAGGTGCCTCAACTCCTCTCCCCATGTCAGAGTGGTGAGTGGGATGGGTTGGAAGGGCCAGTGGGGAGCCTGAACTGTCCTTCCTGCTGGGTAGTAACAAGGTCACCCTCCACAATGGAGGCCACTGGGGAGCATTAACAAGGCACTCTTGACCTTCCCAGCCAGGGGGATATCAGTGGAGGCCTAGCAGGGAGCTGGAGCTCCCACCTTGCTCAGCAGTAACAAGGAGACTTTCCTCCCCAAGTGTCAATGGAGGCTCAGAAGGGAACCTGAATTTCCGCTCCCACCTGGCAGTAATGAGGGAGCACGCCCGCTTGCCCTGCTGGAGCAGTGTCAGAGGAGGCTTGCTGAAGAGAAGTTTTGAATAAGATCCAGAATCTCCTAATACTCTAAATGTTCAGACTTCAATTGAAAATCACTCATCATACCAAGAATCAGGAAAATCTCAACTTGAATGAGAAAAGACAGTCAAGAGATGCCAACCCTGAGATGACAGAGATGTTAGAATTATCTGACAGGGTGTTAAAATCAGCATCATAGAAATATTTCAGTGAGTACTCATGAGCATGCTTGAAGCAAATGAAAAGTAGAAAGTCCCAATGAAGATGTAAAGAGGAACAGAATGGAAATCTTAGAACTGAAAAATACAATAACTGAAAAGATTCAGTGGATGGTCTCAACAACAGAATGGAGGAGATGAAGAAGAACTTGAAGATAGAACAATAGAAATTACTCAATCTGAACAGAGAGAAAATAGACTGAAATAAATGAATAAACCCACAGAGATTTGTGGGGCTATAACAAAAATCTAAGATTCATGACATGAGAGTCCTAGGAGATGAGAAAGAGGGCAGTACTAAAAAAAGACTCTGACCATATAATGGCTGAAATTTCCCCAAATTTGGCAAAATACATAAACCTACAGATTCAAGAAGCTAAGTGAACCTCAAACAGGATAAACCAAAGAAATCCATGCCAAGACATATCACAGCCAAACATCTAAAAACGAAACACAAAGAAAAAAGTTAAAAGCAATAAGAGGGAAACAACTTAGCCATTAAGGGAAAAATAATTTGAAATACAGTAGATTTCTCATCAGAAATTATGGGTGCCAGAAGAAAGTGGCACAACATTTTTCAAGTGCTGAGATAACAATTGTCAAC